GTGAAATACCCAATTCATTGTTCTAACAGGGAATTGATTGTAGAATCAAAGCAAAAGATTCAAAAACCTTGTGATGAACATTGCTCTCATCAAAAGCACATCCAACAGAGAAAGTATCACCAACCACAGCCCATTGAGGTAGCCCTCCAAATTGTGGAAGAACCAGGATTTTCCTAGATCTGTAAAACAATGAAATCCAATAACTTTAAATACTTTTCCACCATAAGAGAATTCAAAGGAAAAGGGATATTTTTATGGGGGTTGTGACCATGAATGAGAGCAGTCAAATGCAACCACTCTTCATTAGGGTAGTCTTTTCTGATTGCTTCAGCAGATTGCAGCAAATGCTGGATTTGGGGTTCATCCAGGTCAGGATCACTGTCATCAACAACTTCATTGAGAAGTTCACAACATTCCCGTATCCCCATCTCTGCCTTGTCCAGCTTCTTATATTCATCCCTCATCATCTTTACCTACAATCATTTGCATTAACTTGTTAATTAAAATGATTCTCTTATCTGTATACACATTTACTTACAAAATCATATGTTTAGTTAAAATGACTTGATTTGTAGTGTTGTTCTACAATGTCTTTTCTGCCACCATCCGCCTCATAATCCCTGTCAACCATTTCACCAAACAATGAGTTAGCTATATCAAAAAAAATGACCAACGACACAATCCTGCAATGCAAATTCCTTTTTTTTTTCTTTCACCTGAACGAGTTTCCAAATGCATCCTTTTCAGGCAATGTAAATTCATCATTTGACACTAATTCAGCAGTCATGCAATAACGAAGAGTAACAAGAAAATCAAAGAGACAAGCAAATGGGATGAATTGAGAGTGTAAGAAGAGAAGGGTATTAATAGCAATGGAAGAGTGTCCTTGTCAAGATATATTACAAGAGCTGGAGTCCTGCAACGAAAATGTTACTTCCCATTTTATTAAAGATTTGGTTTAGGGTTCTTTAGATATGGAAAAGAAAATGAAATAAAATCAAAGGTTATCCTCCAACTAAAAAGGTGGCAGGATTGTCTTAAAAATTTATGAAATTTCTGTATTGAGTCATGAACTAATCTCATAACTAAACAATTATACCTTTGGCTGACTCAAATTTACGTGGATATTCTTATCTTGAGACTTGAGAGAGTAAGGTCTATATAAATGGAGGGTGAGGAATCAGGGTAAACTTTGAACATTCCATTTAGCCATCCCATCACATTAAATTTGGAATCATAAAGTGGGATAATGATTTCAGAAACCAAAGATTTGTACTACTTAAACCATTTCTTCTATTTATGGGCAAGTTCTCTACCCAGTTTTTTGTGGGTAAACTGCATGGATCTAAATTAATATTATTTTTATTTTATTTTGGTATCTAATTTTTTTTAAACATACCTAACATCCAATTTATATTTTATTTTGGTACTCATTGCTAAAAATGTAACGGTAATGTTGACGTGTCACAATAAGGTAATGTCACGTCATCATTGAAAAAAATAAAAAATACTACATTTGTAGTTCTGCTAATCTTTTAACGACATGGTAATAAATTAAAACTTAAACTAAACGTTAAATATGATTTTAAAAAATAAAATTTGAGTACCAAAATATAATAAAAATAATAGTTTAAGTACTTAATATGTTTACCCATTTTTTTAAGTAGTACTCTACCCAGTTGAATTAGAAGAAAGTAAATGTTTTCAAATTAATGGAATTGATGTGTTTTTTTTTTCTAGGTTTTACCGATATAATTTTTTTTATAATACAATGTAAGTAAAAGGTAATATATGTTTAAAGATAACTTTTAATAATTTGACATTGAACATTTACACCCATTAGTATTCATAGTGCTCGAATTTGATATCTCAAATGATAACAACAATTTCTTTACTATCGAAGTCGCTTGGTTCGTACTTACCAACATAAGTTAAATGAAAATAATTTGAAATTTAAATAAATCTATTTTAACTAAAATAAACATTTAATTATTTTATATTAAATATTTAATTATTTAAGCATGATAAAATAAGTTCTGGTCACTAAATTTTAAATTCGTTGTTATTTTTTTAAATAATGAAAAATAGATTTCATTAATAAAAAATAGAATGAATCATAATTACAATGCAATCAAGCATACAGAGAAAATTTGGGACAATAGTCGCATAAAAATCATACATAAAACAAAAATATTAAACCTAAAGATACGAAGAAAAACAAACCTTCCTTTGAAAATGACGTTCAACACCAAAAAAAACTCAGTAACCTTCATAAAAACTCATTATCTTTGTCGAACGAGACACTTTACGAAATGATAAAAGAGTTGTGAGCGAACTAAACTATTTGACAAGCTATATGACTACACAATTCTGATTATATTGACAAATAATCTTTTACTAAAGAGGAGATCTAACTATACGTGACCACCGACAAATCAATTAGAAAACAATGTTATGAGAGTCTTTGTGCAAGCACCAAAATGACCGTAAAGGTATGCAAAAAAATACCAAAATCATAAGGAACAAGAATAGAGAAAAAACATTCCACGATAACAAAGAAAAAAGTGTCACAAGAACAAAGATTCTTATTAAAATTAAAAAAATAAGATAAATAATAATCACTGACAGTCAACAATCAATATTAAGATTGATATTGTCGCTGATTAAACAAAAATTAAAGGGAAAGAGGAAGGTGGCACAAAATATTGAGAGAAAACTTAGATCATGGAAAAAAAAGAAAGTTTTAATTCCTACATGAAATTCTAGTTCGTAAATATTAAAAATACTCGATTTATGTGAAAATATGTTTGATCAACCCTAATTTTTAGGGTTTTGAAAAATACCAGCTTTTACTCATAAAAATAAGTGTTACTTTCGTACATAATTTTTAAAATTATTTATTAAAATAATAAAGTTGATTTATTTATAAGTTTTTCCCTATCTTCTTTCTTTTTCCCTCTACTATAAGGGCATGACTATTAGTATTTGTTAAATAACGAGTGAAAGATATATTAACCTCCCAAATAAAATAAAGAACTATCATTGAAGTAATTGTCAACTATTATTTTTTAATAAAAAAGTTAGGAAATATATGTTAAAGTTTGATTTAAATTCGATCTAATTTAAATTGATTGAGGAAAATAAAAAACTTAATTGGATTGAAAATAGGAAGTCTATTTTTTTATGTTAATTAATAATAGAAAATCTACTTTAAGTAGATTTCTACAAAATAAGTTTCATTTGTAATCAAGTAATTATCCGTATAATTAGATAGTAGATATTAAAGTTAGATGGGAAATTATTTTATCTAAATCCTATTGTATTCTTTTTCTTTTAGCATTAGTGAGAAATCTCGATTTTTATTTTATTATGTGATCCTCCTTCACCATCCCATCACCTTGAGCTAGCATGTGAAGATATCATGGTGTAAATGATCTTCTCCTAAGCTCATGTGGGGTCTAGGTGTACGAGAAAGTAGATGGTACACCGTCTCTATTGGAGAAATATCTAGGGATGGTTTAGGATTGCTCTCTGGTATTCGTTGTCCCGCGGGATTTTCATTCTAAGAGTACTTGTGACTTTGGGATTATATTGTAGCTTGTGAAATAATATGTGGCTTGTCTATCTTGACAGGTTACTATGAGATTGGTTAATGAACCGAGGGAATGTCTCTTGTAAAGTTTGGCATGATTTTATGAAGGGGAAAAGATTGACTTGTTTGAGAAAAACCCCTTTCAAGTGTCGTAAGATGTAACAACTAGGTCCAGGCGTTATGTATGATCACTATACTTACCATTATCATTTAACAATATAAATTACAAATAGCAAAGATTTTATGTCATATTACAATTATTTAAATAATAACAAAGACTAATTTCTTATTTTTTTAGTGGATATCTTCTTATTTCCTACTATTAATCTCAACCATCTCATGACCATAAATCTGTGTAAAACTAAAAAACTTTTACATTGTTTAATATGATCATATCGCGTAATTATAATATAATTATATAAATAGTTTTATAATATTTTATTAGATTAATAAAAATATTTAAAAACTAAAATATTAATAAAAAATATTATTTATAATCACTTAATTGTTGTTAGGCTTAATATAAAAATAAGTGCCCAAAATATACTTCTTTTTTCATTTAGGTGTCTAATTTTTTTTTGTCAATTTAGGTGTCTAACATTTCTAATGTTATCATTTAGGTACCTACGCTGTAACAGACGTTAAATACTCTGTTAAAAATAAGTCAAACAATCAGTATTTGACATGTGGCTTGAATTTTTATTTTCTTTTATTTAAAAAAAATAAAATTCATAGATTTTCAAAGAAAAAAAACTCAAACTTTTCCTAGTTTTTCATAAAATGCCTCAAGACTTTTAATTCTGGCACCAATTACTACCACTGTCAACGGTCATTGACTCACCCATCGACCACCATCTCGTTGACCACCCATCCACCGATTGGGATTGATAGGTGTTGAAATTTAGGGATTTAGGGTTTAGATTTAAGGATTTGAGTTTAGGGATCTTGAGGGTTTGAAGCCACGATTGACGGCGACCGATGGATGGGTATACCGTCGGTAGGGGCGGCAATGACAGTGAACGATTGGCGAGTGGGGTGGATACTTTGGGATTAACGATTTTGGGATTCTTTTGAGAATTTAGATTTTTTTGAGAATTTTTGAATAATAATAATAATTTTAAGTTTTTTAAAAATAAAATTTTAAAAAATTATAAAGGTATCACTTGTTACATTCTGAATAATTGATAAAAGTTTTTTAATATCTATTACGGTCAAGATACTTAAATAATAATATTTAAAACGTTAAACACCTTAATCGGATAAGAGAGGTAGTTTGTACACTTTATATATATATATTAAGCCTTGTTAACGAAAGTGTTTGAAATTAAAATTATTTGATTTTTGTTACTTTTAAGTGGCTAGCGATGTAGTTTAGCGAATAAAATATCTTATCCACTTGAAAAAATTGAAATCTTTCCCAAAATTTCAAAACGAAAAAGAGTTGAAATCCTTGCTGCTGAGTACTGAAAAACTCTTAAACAATGGCGGCCATTGAAGCTGTAACTGCACTCTCCTATCCACGGTATCCTTCGTCTTCCCCAAAGCCCCAAAGGATCTCTTCCTTACCTTCTCAAATATCCATCTCTACCCCTCTCTTTTCCCAAAATTTCTCCGTCCCTCCATTAATCAGCACCCACAAGAATCTGGGTTTTAAACTCTACTCTACATTGCAAGAACTAAGCGTAGAAGCTGAAACTGAGAAAACCCAGAAACCAAATGTGAAAAGAAAGCTTTTTGTGTTGAATTTGCCTCGGGCTTATACTGTTGCTGATATCAAAGACCTCTTTGCCCAATATGGGAACGTTAAAGATGTTGAGGTTCCTTCTCTATACTTGTATATTGCTATTTTTCTTCCTTTTTATTTAAAAAGAGAGATGATTTATGATATGGGTGATTTTGCTATGTGGATTGTTTTCAGATTATAAGGGAGAAAGACGGGAAAAGTAGGAATTTTTCGTTTGTGACAATGCCTTCTGGTGAAGGAGCTCAGGCTGCTATAGATGACCTCGACTCTCATGTAAGGATTTCTTTTCTTTTTAAAATTCAAGTTTTATTTATTATGTATACAATGCTAATCAACTTGATTTTTCACTTACCTGGGAATATATAAATCATTCAACAAATTTTAATTGTTACAACAACAACAACAAAACTCAATTCCCATATGCGGTGTATGCGGTGTAAGGGGAGGTAGGTAGTAGGCTGCCCAACGTCAGGTTAAGAATAGCTTCCGTGAAAGATCTCCGACAATCAGAAAATTAAAAATATAGATAACATGCAATGCATGTATAAATAAATACATAAATACATAGTTGAACAGTATTCATATGCAGTCATTAATATCATTAATATTATATGCGCGTCTGTAATGGGAAGTAATCCCTGCAAATAAATTCTTGCGAAAAAATCTCTGCATATGGACAATACATTATAATCAAAAGTATAATAAGAGAATTGCTTTCCATTGTATATTTGTACCTCATTTGCATATTGGAGTATGATTTCTGGTGCAGGAAGTGTCCGGGAGAATTATAAGGGTAGAGTTTGCAAGGAGATTCAAGAGAGCTTCACCAACTTCTACTCAGCCAATTGTTCCTCCCCGCGAGCCACGACATAAACTTTACGTGTCGAACCTTAATTGGAAAGTTAGGTCGAGTCATCTCAGAGAAATTTTCTCGGCCTTCAACCCGGTTTCAGCTAGAGTTATTTTTGGTACCCCTACAGGACAGTCTGCAGGGTATGGCTTTGTTTCATTTGCCACAAAGGAGGAAGCCGAGGCCGCAATTTCCACTCTAAATGGAAAGGTAATCAAATGCATTCTATATTTTTGAACTGTTTTTATCCCGGTTGTTAAGAGAGCACTATCCGTAGATCATAACTGTCGGTTATCAGTTAATATGGTTACTAGACAAACTAATCGGTGTCAATGCATTTGAAGGTGATTGTCAACTAGAACTCATTTGTATTAAGATATTGTCTAGGACATAAATTTGATGTTCCTCTCAGTATATGTAACAATTTTCATTTATGTTTGCAAAAACTTGTCTTCAGACAGCAAAACCAATGTGTTTTAAATTGTTCCTTCACTTTGTCGAGTAGCTCGTGAATACTTTTTCGAAAAAAGAAAGAAAAGAAAGTAGCTTGTGAATACTTGCATTGTGTTGATTCTATGCATTATGTTGATGAATGCTTTGTTCATCAACCTGGCTGATAACACATTGTCATAAATTTTGCAGGAGTTGATGGATCGGCCACTGCGTTTAAAATTCAGTGAAAAAACGGCTGATGAATCCGGGGATGAAGAGACGGAACAAAAGGAAATCGAGGAGTCTTAGATCGAAAAAAAGAACTCAGAGCAGTGTTCAAATGAGTCAGAAAGTTTTGTCACCTCTCTCCGGATAAGTAATTTGTAAATCTTAAGTTGTGTATATTATTTCTTATATAATTTACCTGTATTTTCACTGATGGAAAATATTTCATATTGATGATTATACAAGGAAAGGTATTCCATACGATTAATTTAAGCTACATTTTTCTTTTCTCGAGTTAATTGGAATCTTATGCTTTCTTATATCTAATCCGACGGCTCATAAATCCCACTAACAATTAAAAGTCATCACCATCTTCCACAGTTCCACCTATACAGAAGATGAAAGATGTGCCATATTTGCAAATAAACTTAACTTCACTTGTTAAGTTTTAGTCACTTATATAATTTAAGTTCGTTTATAACGGATCAAACACTTAAAATAACCTAATATTTCATTGGTGGTTTCTTATATTTTCAGTCCGTTTGATCCTAGTCACCAGCTTAAAAAAATTATTTTAGTACCTTATGTTATTGATTAATACATTTTAATCATTTGACCGTTAATTTCCTTTACTCCAATAACGGAAATCTGACTTGACATTTAAAAAATAAAATCAAAGTCACAAGCTTTTTAAGCCTCCCACCGTCCTAAAGCCCACCACTCCATCCTCTTTATCTTTATGTAACAAAGCTTCACCATAAATTTAAGGTTTAATATATAAAAAAGTAATCCTACTATACTTTTTTCTCTATTTAGGTGTTTAAATTTTTTTCGGTCAATGTAAGTACCGAAAGTTTTTGAGGTTATTTTAAGTGTCTGGTTTGTCACGATTATTAAAAAAAATACATTAAATATTAGTTAATTACTCAAAATGTGACACATAGCGTGTTTATAGGTTTTTAAAAATTTTGTTTTAAAAAATAAAATTATCATTATTTAAAAAAATTAAAATTTCTCTATAATCTCAAAAAAAATCCCAAAATCTTTAATCCCAAAGCATCAACTCCACTCGTTGATCAACCCCCGCCGGGTGCCTACCCACTCATCATCGGCTATCACTTGTAGCCTCAATCCCCAAAATCTTAAACCTAAAACCTTAAATCTCAAGACACACATGCATCTCAATCGACAGGTGATAAGGTGAATAATTGATTGATATTTAACGGACATTTTTAAGGGTCATGACACACCAGACACTAAAAATGATAATGTAAAAAACATTAGACATCTATATTTACGCTTAAATTAGACCACTACTCATTAAAGTAAGGAAATAAGACTCCATATAAACCCTCCTGAAAACCTTTTCTCACCCTCATTACTAGATTCTTTGCATTACGAAATGTAACTGTTTCTGTATACAATTTCCAAATATAGTATGTATAACTCAACCCTAACAAGCATCGATGGTACAAGTTGTTTCAGAAATTAGAATGCTGCATAGTTCAAAACACAAATGCTTTTGAAAATTAAAAAGCCCAAAGTTAACACACGTTCATGTTCTGTATAGCGTGACATGGACCTACCAGAATTTATACTAAACGCCAGAAAAATCTAGGAGCGCCATGACAACACACCAAGTCAAAGAATAGGAAACCAGGATCAAACAAGCCGATGAGGATGACACAAATATGGTATCCACAGATGAGTTTACCAGCCCAATTTGCAGATTTGCCTGCATTAAATCATAAATAAAGCAACACAACCTGTTTAAGTTATTTCTTACATGAGATGTTGATTGAGGACAACACAAAATTCCTCGAGTCACATGCATGAATGAAAAGGAGGGATGGTCACTTTACCACAAAAAAGAAGCAAATAAATTCCAGTCAAATGCTCTTTCAAGAGCTAAAACTTTGCTCCCAACGATGTTATCAGCGAGAAGTCGCATCGCTAATAGCTGAAACAATGGGGTAAACCTTTCGTTAGCCATGCACCACATGTAACAGTAGGTGATAAAACTATACACTTCCATCACTGTTCAAAAGGACAGGGACATAGTTCTTTTATTTGAATTTGCATTTCAGTTATATTTTTTTTAATTATGTTCACCAATTATATGCCTCTTGGTTTCTTAATTTTTCCCAAAGCACCTTATACCTATACCTGACGCATATCCAAACATGATTAAGAGGAGAGACACCCATACCTAGACTCAACACTCGGATCCGAGTCTGAGTAAAATAACTAAAGAAACAAACAAAAAAAGGTAAACAGGCAAGGGTTCGTTTGTGTGACGGTCCGAGTGAACTTTTGTTGAGAGGCTGTAGAGAGAACAAATATGGCTACTTTGGACCCAAAAATTCCTATCAATGGCATGATTGATGCTTGATATTTTATTCCCAAGTCAAAACAAACAAAGATCCCTCGCTCTCACCATATTGACACCATTTCTGCACAAGACACTGATTTACAAATGGCAAACTGAGTTTCACATCTCCAAAATGTATCTTAAACAAAAAGGAAACGTACTCAAAGAATGCCCTCCATCTTTCACTCAACATAGAAGTCGACATGCATATATAATCATAGAACCAACATCATCCAAGCCTCTTTTTGAACATTAAAAAAAATCTACAGTGATACATTTTGAGATTCCATGTTAGTCAACCAACTAAGGCCCGGATGGTTCAATATGTACCCAACCAATCAATTGCTATATAAAGAGGAGATATCGGTAATAAGAAAACGAGAAACACGGAAATTCTGCCAATGATCTAGTCCTGATCTTTTTATGTTTTAGGAAAAGGAATGTTTTATATTGATAACTTCTAAATTTAATGAACTTAAGTACCAAAAGGGTGATGAACATTGACATTTAATTATTGATAGAGACAGACGCATAATTTTATGTTAGGATGGATGAATTTATAACTTTTTAAGTATGTGTGAACTTATAAAATTTTAGGGGAGCAAAAACATATTTTCAATATAAAATATATAGGAATTTGAAAATTTTAGGGGGTGACCGCCCCCACCCACCCCCTCTAGGTCCATCCCTGATTCTTGACGTACTTAAGGGAGGAAATAAGAATAACCTGTAGATTTTGAGCCACCACCCAAGTAACATAAGCCAGGTTGCACTGCAGAAATTGTATAGTACGGTGAATCAAGATTGTTAATTCCAATATGGTTTTACAATTTAGTAAATATGTGATGAGTATGTCCAACCATTCTACGTGAAATTCTTTCAACATGCCTGTCTATAAGCAATGTTAAAATCCTGCAACAAACAGATGTAACAAAAATCAGCTCACTTTCCATAACAAAAATCAGAAACATAACAGTTCACTAAAAATACAAACAAATTCAATTAGTTTTGAGGTATTGGAAGGACAATTTCAGAAGTTCTCAAAGTGAAAGAATATCCACTTTTCACATGTAATAGTCTTTATCAAAGAATGTAGATACCCCTTTGAACCTCTCAAAGTGATTGAATATAGACACTCGTTCTGAGGACAATGATAACAAAAAAGTTATGTACAAGGATAATGGATTAAATGTTAATATGGGCTTTACCTTAAAAAACAGTAAAATTATCTACTTCATTCTAAATTAATAGCAAACTAAGAAATAACATGCATCATGAGAGAGAAAAAAAGGAACTTGATAATATCTTACCAAGCCTGTCCCGTAAGTCTCTGTCTTGGCGAATTCTCTAGGACATATTCTGAAATCAACAGCCAAGATACACAAGCATGTGACAAAGATTAGCAATAATATTCCCACTTGTTGAAGAATCGGGTAAAGATAACGAAAGAACACAAGAATTTTAACGAGGTTCGACAATATGCTTACGTTCTCGGTGTCTAGGCGGCGCTAGAAGTTTTATTCAATGTCATATAGGTTTAGGTTACATCTCTATTTATAATAAAAAACCTGATACATACTTACATAATTAACCTTGTACCGTACCCCTGTCCTCTTTACTAGTATATTTATGAGCCATACCTATCGCCACTGAAATTTTTATCACATATTAGAGAAAGCACATGAAGAAAAGATATTTATTTCAAAAGAAACCAAATTGCATGATATGCAAGTAGGTAAGACATTCTACTGTAACAACCCTATAAGATGATATGCTTGCCCTAGCAGCATTAGGTCCTTCGTGTAAGGCAAACAATAAGTTCTGCATTACAAGGTTTCGAGTTAATGTACTTTTACATCAAAAACAGTTGTCATTAAAGTAATGATGGAAGAAATAACAAGTATAAACAACTTTCTTCAAGTTCTACCTTTTGACTGCAGTACAGAAGATTGTCGATAAGAATAACCCAATCGTGCATTCATATGACCACTCTGCCAGAACCTATAACACCAATATATATATATATATAAATCGAATTTGGGGGTGAATTCAAACGAAATCTTTAGTGTGACAGCTGGGAGTACAATATATATATATATATATATATATATATATATATAACCATTTTTTTTTATTAATCTGAGGTAAATACAAGGTAGTATATGTTTAAAGATAACTCTCAACCATTTAACATTCAATGCTTACACCCCTTACATTAATGGTACTACTTCAATATTTGTGTGCATTACTTCAAATTCATCATTTTTTCTTGAAGGAATGGAGTTCAACATTTATGTTTAACGCATATTTGGACATGACATGGGAGCATAATCTTGAAAATATATAAAGATTTTAGGGGAATGAGTTTATCCGAATCAGACACATATAGTATTTATTTCGACCTCTTGGCCAATTTAGTACCAAATTTTAGCTTATTTTGATGTTCTTATCTTGGTCACTCAATTAAGCAAAGATGTAGTTAACAAGTATGGCCTACTATTTTAATAGAAATTTGAATCAGTTGGATGATTGCTAGGACTGCAGCTTAAAGGGAAAACGAAACAAGAGAGGAGAATAAAACGGTCGGTCAAAGGGTATCATGCATGATCTAACACGCAACATCAGCATTCTATTATTGCAGTAACGACTATTAATAACAAGTGATTGATTTCATATTACGCTCTTAAACCCTGTTCTTTAGCACCTTCTTTCTTGAAGACAAATCTTTGGACAAAATTAGGAAGCAACAATTATTTATAGCTCAAGATAACATGTAAAATTGCATGTGAAGTTAATCTTGGTATATCTAAAATTCTCTTATCTTCAAAGCAATAGACCTTTAACAGTTGAACCTACAAGTTTCTTATGCGTAAAGCAAGGGAACCTAGCCATTTATTTAATACTGAGACCAGAACAAACACTGAGAAGAATAACTTTCCATGGATATACAGATTCTAAACACTATTGTGAACAATCAAATCGAAATCGAAACAGATAATACCTTTCCCCCAAACTTTTCATGTACCTAACAATGGCTAAAGTAAACACAATTCACACCTAAGAACTTGATGACTGATATCTTCATTATCAGCAGGCTCCAGTAACTGGAGAGAATGCAGTGGCACATTGCATTTCATTAGATGCCGGTCTGGACGGTAATGTAGGGCAACGGTAATGGTTACCAACAGATCGGTGTTTGGTGTACAAGCAAGCTCTGCAGGTTAAACGTTATGATTTGCTCTTGCTCATAAGTGTAGGCGTGACCGAGACAACCCCAATAAGGAAAAGAGTGGCGATTGAGTTGAAATCATAAAGGTCCCCGACTGATTGTAATTCGCCAAGAGCTATTCCAGCCTGCAGAAGAAACAGATATGTTTGCATTACTGAAGTATAAAGAGTGGCATTTAAGTGAGCTTCACTGCAACTTTTACATGGAAGTTTCAAAGTTAGATACCCTGACAGTTATGTAAGCAGCAGGGATGAGTCCAATAATCGTCGCCAGGAAGAAAATATGGTAAGGCACGTCCACAATAGGAGAAGCTACATTAATGAATGTATTTGGCAAAGTTGGTGTAAGCCTTAGGAAAAGCATATAGTTCAACAGACGCTCCCTTCTTTGAGCTACCTGCAAGCATGGAGTTAGAGCTTATTTCATTTTTTAGCTCAATGTAACAAAGATGGTTCGAATAGGAATTGAAAATCACCTGGTCTTGGAAGAAGCTCAGCTTGTCGGGCCAAAGGGAAAACACAAGGGGCCGGCCTATTACTTTTGACAGGAAATAGCAAGAAGAAGCACCGGCGGTGGCGGTGAACACAACAAGAGCTACGCCTTTGAAGACTCCAAACAGGGCTCCGGCAAGCAATGACATGAAAACGGTCCCCGGAATCATGAAAGTTTGCATGAAAATATAGACTACACAATACCCCACCAAGACTTGTACGGTGTAGTCACTGGTGTAGGTTTCAAGGTGATCCCTACACGATGCATTTTAGGGGGGGGGGAAATAAGAACAATCATCATATACCAAAGTCACCTCAAAGAAGAGATAATACAGCCGGAGATGGACCGAGAGGAAATTATCATATATTTTAGATATTTTTCATGAATTTTGTATTAAAAATCTGTTTTCGCCCTTTAGAATTTTATAGTTGGTCGCCCTCAAATTTTGGAGGTTCGCCTTACTAGCATAAAATCAAACATCCGCCAAAGAATCATAAAGAAAATTCTCTGATCTAGAACCCAGAAAGCACCAAGGATGGCCTGCTAGTTCATCCTATATTTCTTTAAACCAAATGCTAATTTCACCACCAGAAAGTATTACATGTGAGAGTAAAATCTGCAAATTTTAAGAACTAAACAGAATAGAAATTCAAAAGTATATAGGTATATTGAGGGAGGCAAAGTAACAGTTAATCTGATTCTATTAGCATTAAACATAGAAACAAAACATTCCCCACAAAATTGTTTTACCCAAAATGACAACGTTTTGATTGTGCATTTTCAATCACCGCCAAATGACAGTAAAGTAATAGATTTAAAGAAATCTTTTTCTTTTTTCAAATTAGTAGGGGGGGAAACCTGAGAATTTGAAGATCTTGGAGGCTCCTGGGTAATTTAAGGAAGCTATAATCAGATGCAGGCATGGTAAAATAGACGCCAGAAAGCCCCAAAATAAATGCCATGACCACCGTTGAAGCCACTGAGAGTTCCCAAAAGCTCAAAGGGAAACTGGGTTTGAATACCTTTACCTCTTCTCTACCATCCATTTCTCTCTTTTTCTCTTGGCTTTTTCCACCAAAACAGAGCAAAAGTGAAAAAGGATTTGCCCTTTTCAGACACTTGGTCTCTCTCTCTCTGTCTCTCTAAGGTGTCAGGGTGAGACCGACAAAGCCTTGTATATAAAAGAAAATGGTAAGAAAATGTGGGGATGATGACACGTAGGCCACGATCAGAAGCACATGAAATAAGGAGGAAATGCATAGAAACATACACAGTGACGGAGAGAGGAGATAGAGAATCGTTGGATTAGTAGGAGAAGAAGCAAAGCATGTGCTTTTCACCGTCACGGCCACGCGACTACCGAACATACTCTTTAACTTTTTATGGTTTGTTTTTTTTGGTTAGTTATGTTATACCATAATCTAATTTAAGAAAATGTATAATTAGAAATGTTAATATTTTACTATTTTTGGTTGAACGTAATTTAGAATATTAATTTTTTAACATTTTACAGAATCAAAAATGTTAATTTTTTATCTTCTTCATTATATTTTCTTTTTTTTTTTTGATAATTCAAATTTTATTATCCAAAGAAAATTCTGCTACAAAACTAATTAACCAATCAACAACAAAAAAAGAACTATGAACAACCAACTTACAAAATCAAAGATTGGTTAGACTATACCCCTTGCATTACAAGGATTATAATTAGTAATATCAAGTCTATTAATATTTTCCCCCTTAAGTTGAATCCCAACAGCTTCTTTAATAACTTTGAGCATGTCTTCGATTGTTTTATATCGACCTTGAAATATTCTTTGATTTCTTTTCTCTCACAAAATGTAGATAAAAGCAGTCAAAGAGATCTTCAAAATGGTGGTAAGAAGTGACCTCCCTTTCCATGTTGAAGTTGCCCATGAAACAGTGTCATCCCATGCGGAGTTTTGTTGTCTTCAACCTGTTTAGAAACAGAATTGAATTCCAAAGACGAGCTACCAGGGAACATTGAGAAAACAGATGATTCCTTATCTCCTATGAAATGCTGCAATTAACACAAGTTCATTCAGTTATAATTCTCATTCTATGCAGCCTATCTCTTGTAGGTAATATGTCCAGAAGTGACATCCAAGCAATTAAGCTATGTTTTGGTATGTGCATTGGAAACCATATTAGTTTGTGCCAAGAAACTTTCTCCCCTTTCAACCGAATCACTTCCCAAATGTCTCTTATCTACTGAGGTCCAAAAGAAAGAATTGGATAAGCGGCAGACCTCATTTTAAAATTCTATTAACACTCCAGCTAACATTTGCACCTGTTACAAAATGCCAGAACTCTTGGTCCATAAAAACATAACTTTTTAATCAAGCTACCTAAAGGGATCCATCACCCGCAAGAATTTTCCTGATGAGATTAATACACGATGTGTTCCAAGTTTTGATATTCTTCAATCCTAGACCTCCTTCAGATTTAGAAAAACAATTTTTTTCCCAGCTGACTCTAGCTCCTACAGCAGTGTTATCATCTCATTTCCAGAAAAACCTGGAGCAAGATGATCCACCTTTAATAAAGATCGATTGGGGCAGAATTAGCTGTCTGCATCAGTAGTTAGTAACACTGAACAAGACGGATCGAATAAGCTCTAGTCTGCCAGCATAGCTAAGATTCCTTCCAGACCAATGGTGGATCCTTTGTTTGATTTTTCCAATTAACACTTCACAATCCTTCTCATAAAGCTTTCGGGTGACAAGAGGCAGACATCCATTTTTGAAACCAGTGATATGCTTAATATCCTCTATAATTCTTAATATCCTCTTCATTATATTTTCGATTGTAACCGAAAATATTAAAAAATTAAAAGATTAACATTTTAAGTTACACTCAATCAAAAATATTAAAAAAATACTTAACATTTTCCGTTGCACATTTTCTTAACCTTAAATTAAGCTATTTTTTAGACATTCTATTGTTTTATTATTTTAAATTTAAAAGGAATTAATTAAAAGGATCATTCTAATCATTCCATTGTTATATATTCAAACAAATATATTCTATTCAGCTAAAAAAATAAATAAAGTTTAGATGATAAAATAATATTCATAAATTAAATTAATTTAATTTTTCATATACGATCAAATATTCACTTTTAATTAATTGAATATTACAATTTTAATTAAAAAAATTAAATCTAAATTTTAAAACAATATTATTAGATGGAATAGCACAATCTTTAAACATCAAAGGTATAAGAATGATGGCAAAGGCCGTCACGAAATGGGCACCGTCTTCGTCTAAGGAAGTTGAGAAGCAACGTAGCAGTTGTCTACATTTCGACATTCTCATTTCATTTTTACGGTCTCTACTACCATACACGTGGATGAATAAATTTCGATTAGGCTCAAAAAGTTAATTTTTTTATTTAATTTTTTTTACTTATTGTAGACACCCCATTTCATCCAAATATATATGCGTTACACTCATAATATTTACGTGCAGATATTATAATCGGCATATATTACATATCATTTATTATATTATTTTATGTGTTACAGGCCCAAATAACATGCTACATCAACATGGCGTAACGTGACCCAAACTCAGCTGCCCAATACTACACAATTGCATGTGAACCGGATTTTCAGCAAACCCGATCTTGGAAACCCAACCCGGTTTGAAACCCTAGAGCAGATTAGGGTTTCAAACTTTTCTCTTCTGCGCCGCAATAGTCTCCTCGCCATTCACGCATCCCAGCCGCTCGGTCAGACGCCATCCTCACGCCTCCAACCCAAGTTCCACGCCGAAGATCCCGACGCCCACGACACCAACAAACACAACAGTATCGTTAGTATTCTACTAGGATTCAAACACTGAAAATAGGATATTAGGCACTATAAATAAGTTGTAATCAACACACTATTTTCACACGATCATCAGAGGATTTTTACATAGTTTACACATAAGAGATTATCGAGAGATTACCACGAGGCAAACACGCACATAAGCTCACAATAGCAAACACAAAGAGAGTCCGAACACTTGTAGAGCATTTCAGTATTTTTTACCTTCGCTTCGGTCGGCTTTTGTTGCATGCGTTCTACTTGTCTTTGTTTCTAACCCCAAAAATGAGCTTTAGACCGATGAACGGATGGGCGTTCTCGAGATCTTCATTTGTAGATCTAGCCCCCGAGGTCAATAATCTTTGAAAAATGTTTTGATTTTCGAAGCGGGGATAGAAAGAGGTTTCGAATGGTACAGAAAATTTTTGATTTTGTTGCCGATGACCCGCGGCCGGCGCCGATCAACGGCGACCGACGAGGCGGCACGAGCGATGCGTGGTGATCAGATTCTGGAATCTCGCTGTGTTCTTCATATGTGAAGAACCGGTGAGAGAGAAATGAGAAGAGGGGAGGGGCTCTCTTGGGAAGAAGAGAGAAATGAAGGTTTTCAAAAAAATTTTGGTTTAAATAGTTAGCCCATCAGACAGTGACCCGACCCGTTTAATCTCTCAGACCCGCGTGTTTTTGATATTTAATGGGTTAATCCCGCATTTGGTCCTCCTCATTCATAAAGGCCTTAATTTACCCTTGCAATTTCAGATTATCTTCGAAATGATTTGAATTCTGTCACTCAGTTTTTCTTTTTTACAAATTGGTCCTTTTTTCTGAATCTTAATTTTAATTTTCCGTTTTTATATATTACATTATAATATTTATATATATATATTTTTATAGTTTTTTTTACATACCTGTATTATCAGTATTTCATTATTTATTTATTTTATTTATATGTTATATTATATATATATATATATTTATTTTATTTCTTAGTATTTTTTGTTATATTATATATATTATTTTATTTCTTTTAGCCACAAGCTAATATACATATATATATATAATATATATATATATATATATATATATATATATATATATATATATATATATATCTTCTTTTCCCTCATTTTTGTTCATTTATCCTATTTTATCCTATTTATTGATTTTTTATATATATTTTATTTATTTATCTTTATTTCTTTGTTTATCTTATTCTATTTTGTCTTTATTTTTATTCTTTTTTGTTTCACTATCTCATATTAATTATGTTGTTTGTTTTTTGTCTTTATTTTATTTGTCATTATTTATTCGTTTTCTCTTCTTTATTTTACTTTCTTGATTTTTAATTTATCTTCATCACCTTTGTTTTTCTAACGTTTTCTTGATTCTTTAAGTGCATGTTTTGAAAACGGTTAGAGGCAAGTAATTTGGATCGACATTTTACCTGTTAATTTAGATTTACAACTTTCTTAACTAAAGACAATTGGAAATTACGTAGTACCCAAAGGGCGGTTCAAGGGTGTTAGTCATTCCTTGACCGTAACCGACTCCCGAGCCCGACACACTTATGGTAAGACGTAGATCAGGTAAGAAATAAGGTATCCGATCAACCTATTTTTTAAAAATAAATGATCGGTGGTGACTCCTAATCCATTTTCCTAAGTCGAAGCCCAATTCCGGGCCCAACCGAAAGACGGTTGTGATAGCTTGGCGACTCTGCTGGGGACACAGGTAAGTGAGTCAGGCTAAGGTAATTTCCAGTTGTCTTTTTAATGAAAAGGGTAAGTTTAAATTTTAAGGTAACATTTCGATCATTTTTACTTACTTTTGATTATATTTTCGAGTAAATAGTTGTACTAATTGTTTTCTAATGATTTCAGCCATCAAAGTTCGTTTTTCACTTAAGGCTCTAAACCTGAGCTCTGAACCCATTTTTAAGTGGAACTGAAAGCGACGTCTTCGTGTGAATTTATTCACCGCATAGGCCTAGCAAGTAACCTTCGGGATTCATATACCTTATGTCTTCGTGTGAATTTATTCTCCGCATAGACATAAGGGAATGTGTCCTCTCGAGTTTAACTTAGTCCACACAAGCCTGTGATGGTTTAGGACTAAGGGTCTGGTAAGCCTAAGGGGGCGCCGGTAAGGAGAACTCGGGTACCATTTTTTAGAACCTAAACGGGGAGACTATGGAGAATTAGAGCCTACCCCGAAACCACATTCCAAAACCTATAATATTTTTACCCTAACCATGTTTCTTTTTTATTTTTTTCCCTTTCGTCATTTTATTTTTATTTATTTATTTTTATTGTACTAACTT